ATTATAAAACAATGTTTATTGTTTATTCAATGTTTATTATGATTTTTCCAAAATCAAATAATCATATCTCTTCTTATAAATTAAAATTTTATTTAAATATACTGAAAAGCATAGACAACATTACGACAGACTAACACTCACATTGAAAATGGTTCATTCTAGAATTTGAGTCAAATTATAATCTAGAGCATGGACCAACAAACTGGTGCCTGCAAAACAATTTTAAAATTTTAAGAAGCTGACGAGATATTTTAATGTTGAGTGGGAAAAACAATTTCATTTATAACTTAAAATTATTTTCTTAAACTGTTGGTCGCGACCCCCATGGAGGTCGCCAAAACATTTTAGCAGTTTTTGATAATCCTTTAACTTATTCCTAATAATTTTACAATTACCAAATATTTTTACACAATGTATCTGAAAATAGATAAAGATAAGGCAATACATAAAGTTCTTTTTCTAACTGAACAAAAATCTGATTTTGCGAATTTATTTCATAATAAGTTATGGCTACAAAAGCTGCATTATTTGAGTGACATATTTGAAAAACTAAATGATCTAAATTTGTCGTTTCAAGAAAAAGGTTGCAACATAGTCATATTCAAATTAAAAATTGATGCTTTTATTAAGAAAATGACCATATGGAAAACAATGATGGAAAAGGGTTTGTTAGAAATGTTTGTCGCAACAACTGAATTTTTAAATGAAAATGATGAAATAGATAAATCAAAAAGATGACTTGTTGAAAAAAATGATAAATGAACATCTTTGATGTCTTGAGAAAAACTTTAAGAAATATTTCCCTTCAAATTTTAGTGTCAAAGAACTAATATATATTGTGAAACTATTTAGAATTAATGTGGAAAATATTACTCATTTGCCATTCAAATCACAAGAACTTGCTGATTTACCAACTAATTCGGGATTGAAACTTTATCTTTAATACGAAGTCTTCAGAAGATTTTTGGCTAGCAATTGCAAAAGATTTCCAACAATTTCTGAAACTGCCATAAACTTTTACCTTTTTCTGCAACATATTAGTGAGAGACATTTTCATCTCTAACCACCATAAAATCAAAAGTGTCAATCAAAAAAGTTTAAAAAGCCCTGATTTATTACATGGTAAAAAGTGCATGCTTATGCAACTGAAGTATAATGGTTAGTGTAAAATATAACTTGGAGAGACATTTCATCAGTACGGTGTTTGCATAACATTTTCAAGAGAATGTTACATGAGTAATGAAATTCCAATTGCTATACTAAATCTCTCTCTGCTAGTACTTAACAAAGAAAAAACTCAAAGTTATCCGTTATCCAGATACCCCAATGCAACTATTATTTTATGACTTTAATTGTAAATAGGTTACTTAAATTTAAATATCGCAAAGCCTCAAGGACTATCTGTGTAAGAGGAGAGAAACCTTCGTAGAGGCCTTTCTAAGGGAAACTGGCTCATATTTATGTTACACATGGGGTAACCACAAAAACCAACCATGCAGCCAACCTGTTCGCCTGGGACGGAACCCAAGCCAGGTCGAACTACCAGTATTCGGTTGTCTTAACCACTCAACCACTGGTGGGGTTCTTAATTCTAAATAGAAAATTATATATTGCACTCCTGTAATACTCTTTTTAAATGAATCACATTTCAAGGAAAACAAGTTAATTGAATATTACAAGTTTGAGAAAAATTCAACTTAACATTAGTATCTTGATCTTGTAAAAATGATTTTTTTTTTTTTTTTTTTAAAATTAAAAGGTCATGATGTTGTCGTGAATTATAAGACCTCATATGTAACATTGATATATTAAGTTTTAACTCACCTTTATGTAATCTTGCATGCATTCCCATAAAGCATCCAATACTTCTGGTATCACTCTTAACAATGTTTGTTTAGGTATTCTATACAAATACTGTAAATTTGAATAGGAACTCCCTGTAACATAATAAAAAACTTAAAAAATAAATTTATTAAAAATGATGTAGTGATATAATTATGATATTTATTCATTATAAATTTCTCAAAATTAAAAAAAATAATGATTAAAATTATTGTTTGAATTTGTATTTCAATTTCTGTGAATTTGATTTATTAATTTTATCAAAATTAATTGATTTTTTTCCAATAAAATAAAAATTAACTTACCACCAGCTAGAAAGCGTAAAGTAACATGCAGCCTCTCAGATGGTGAAATTGCACAACGCATAATCGTATCCTGTTTTTTAATTTTGCTGCTCACTAAGTTTAATAAATAATCAAAATCGCACGGCATCATTCGCAAATACTTTCCAAATTCCACCCTGTCTTCAAAACGCAGCTCTTGGAACAGGGTATTATGGGCTCCATGAATTTCTCTGCGTTTCACCCAATTTCTCGTCCAAATACGCTTTCTTTTTTTCTTCTGCAGCAGCAGCAGCGAGGATCAAAATCGCAGATGTTGCTACAGTAGCAATTAACGGGAAATCTTCATCCATTTTTATTATTGTCGCCTAAATTCACTCCCGCACAGTTTTTGTTTTCACAGTTGTTGATAGTGTGACGCTACATAGGGCGGGAATTCTTCCTCGGACAGTGATTGGTTAAGGCATTTCCTGTACCGACGACAAAATCGTTGCGTGTGGACAAGCAAGCTCTCGCAGATAAAATCGTACGAGAAAGTCGGCCATAAAATCGGTACGTGTAACGGGCCTTTAGTGCCGTCGAAAGAGTGATGAGCTCTGGAAGACTGAAGAGGATCGGGAGCTGTGTCTTCGTATGTCGATGCATCGCGGTGTAGCGTGGAGATCTGAGATACGGATTCCGAGACAACAAAGAGCGGGTGCTGTATTCTGGTGCTTTGCCGTGAAGCTGTCTTCACTGTTATAGCCTGAAGGTTGTGTCACTGAATGTTACAGCGTGTCTATAGTTCTTCGACAACTGTAAAAACATGATTTTGGAGCTGTCCTGATCAATATTGGCTAAATAATGTATGTTTTGATACTTCATCAAGTGTCATCGTTATTCACTCCAAATCCACGAACCCGTACATAAAGAAAGAAGAAAAAAAAAAAAAAAAAAAAACCGTAACAATATAAAAATAGTTATTTATTTATTTAAAACAGGTTTTGTGTGCATTTAACTTTTGCACTCCTGGTAAGTTAGCAGAGACATGTTGGTAAAGACAAATATATAGGGATGAGCAGAAATAGGTCAGTTGGTGTATTTGAGAAGTTACAGATGCTATTTGTTCTGGTATTTTCACCAAATGAATAAAACTTACAGCAAATAGTTTTGAACAAAACAAAATCAAATTACGATTCAATTGAAAGTTTGGATTTCCTGGTGTCATCGGCACTGTAGATCAGTGCTCCGCAACCGGTGTGCTGCGGCACACTGGTGTGCCATGGGTAGGATATAGGTGTGCCACAATCAAATACATGTATTTGACATTTTGCAATTTTTTATCATGTATTTAATACACAATGACAATTCTTTTTCCTTAATAATGTCTATTTTAAATGTTTTTATATATTTCACTGTTGTGTGGTTGGTGTGTGATTGTAAGTGTGTCAGCATTTGAATTTTTTCGGCACTTCCTTGATAACTCGGAACTCTTTGGTGTGCCACGAAATTCCAGAAAGATTTTTTGTGCGTTGCAGGTGAGAAAAGGTTGCGGAGCTCTGCTGTAGATGATACCCACTTATCTACAATTGCACCTAATGCCAAGGTTTATTTATATAAACAAAAAATCCTGTCAAAAATCTAGCAAAGCTAGCCACAAAATGTCACATTAATTTAAATCTCCATGTTCCTGTTTCTCACTCAAAGTTCTTTTATAGAAATGATGCTACCTATTTGTATATTTGAAAGAGAGAATTTCATGCCCACCAAAGGGGTTTTTGCTACAAGTTTCAAAAGATAAAAGTTGATCAGTTTTCAACAGATTTTTACTAATGCAGTTTTTGACTAGACATGGTAATTTAAAAAGTTATTTTAAAGTATTTTGGACAGGCCTCAAGTGCTTTGTGCAACTGTGGTATTGGTGATGAGAATGTTAAGTATATTCTTCTTGAGAGTATTCATCGTGCCCAGCAAAAGAAGATACTTCAGGTAACTTTGAAGCACCTGTCTGTATCTTGGCCACAAATTTTTTCTAAAATTTTTAGTCTAAAGAGACACTTTCTGCTTTTCGAAATTTCAATCTAAATTTAGAACATTGAGTTATCATTATTTTATTTATTTCTTTATTATTTTAATTTATTCATTGTTTTTTAATAATTTTTATCCTTTTGCAGTGCTTCTGTACATTTTTTTTATTTTGTTAATAGTATAAACTTACATGTATAAGCCTCATGGTATATTTTGTGGAACACATGGCATTAAAAATTAAAGTTCATCCCCTCCCCCAAAAAATTGTTAACATAAATAAGAGTTTTATGTAGGTAAATAAAGAAGTATGATAAAGTATTTTCAATAATTAAGTAAACTACACACATTTTGAAAAAATTATATTATTTATTTCAACTGTACAAATATAAAATATACATCACTCACAAACATATTTCAAACTATAACATCTGTTTTTAAAGATTTTAGATAAATCTAAAGAAGTATCTTCAAGGTCATTCCCTCAAGAAATTAAAGATGCTAAATATCATACTAAATGAATCAGAATGATAATAAAACATCAAACTGTTATTATTATTTATATTTTCTAACTGCAAAATGTCTCATCACTTCAATTTACTAGAAATGAATTTTGAAATGCTTGTATTCATAAGTCAGTATGTCATTGAAATAATATTATTTGAAAAATGGTGATTTTTATAAAATAGTAAAATAATTGAATAATTTTGGAGAGGGGTAAGTTTTATAGGTTTCCAACTATTTTCGTTTCACGATTTACCTCTCAAAAAATTTTTACATACTTTTCAGCTAACGGATTGTTAGTAATAACTATGTGAAACATGTAAAATCTATTTTTTTCACATTGAAAATAGTTATGCAAAAATGTTGTTGAGAATAAGAGGGACGAATAAACACTGATCTAATAATTTTCCACCTCAGAGATTTTCAGCAGCATTTCTTTTAAAGAAAGCATCATGATTGCATGATTTACAACAGCCAAATAACACACAATCATGATGAAATTATTTTAAAAACAAAATGCCCTCCAAATAGAAAGATTTAATTTAGAAAACCACAAAATGGAACTGTATTTTACTACTACTGAAGCACCAAAATGGCACTGCAACGAAAGATCATGCCATAGGAAGAAACATTTACAAACTTGGTTCAAAGGTCATGCATTTCTTTACAAGCAATTATTCTATTTATTTAATTCTGGTGTCAAGAACTCACATATCTCTAAACTGTAATTATGAATGATTTACTGTACAGCTGTTGAATGGAATAATTACATGCACTAGTTTCTTGTATTTAACAAAATAGCAATTATTTATTTAGTTGTATATATTGTTGAGGTAGCAACTCTTGTCTTTACTTAGATTTTATGCTAACATTTTAAGTTTGGCATCAAGTAATTTCCCATTAATAGAGAAGCACCAATTTTTTTTCAAAAGATATCTGATATATATCAACAGAAGATATATGTTACATATCTTTTGAGCGTGAATTTTTAAGTACCTACTGAAATTGTACTACATCAAGCTACTGAAACAACTCATGAATTCTGAAAAGAGAATGTTAGCGATGCAGATCTCTCACATACTTAAACCTAGTACCTAACAAAACATGCACAAATTCCTGCCATTGAACTTGCAATCACAGTGTGCTGAAAGATTTTGCTGTTTGCAAGTATTAGTTGTCACTGCAACTACAGATCTATGGTCCTGTTTCTAGAACATTAGGCTGCTATTACACTTTGGTTTGTTTTGGAACAATTTTTCTGCTTTGTCACAACAGCCAATCACCATAGATCGCTTTGGGGTTAACACAGGGAAAACTGGTTCCCCATTACAAACAAGCTGATAGTATTTGAAGCTGATTGCTGATTGGTTGAAAACAAACAACTTGCAGTTTTTTTTTAAAAGGAAGTCTTTCTTTCAATAGTAAACCAGGCAGAAAAATTGTCCGAAACAGCTGTTCATGTGAAACAAACGCAGTGTGATATGCGCCTTAGATTGCCAAGTTATAACTAACATTGCCATGGAATAATAAAAATATATTTTATTTAAAATCTGTGCCAATGGCACAAATGATACTGTTTATATAATCATGTGAATATTTTAAGTATTTCTTTAAAAATGTTTAGGCAAATAAATGTTTTGAACATATTCTTATCGTACAAACATTTCCTCATTATTTCTTCACTACTCATTCTACAACTAGCAATATCCCATCAGATCTCTTCAGTGCCCAAGTTGGGAAACTGTGGTAAGATGTTAAAAACATTAATAAAATATTTACTAAAGCACAAAAGAATAAACTTCCATACATAAACTATAATTTTAGGAAAAACACAGATTTTTATTTGAATTAAATTTAACTACGGTTTGAATATATACATTACAATGTTCAAAATCTAGATGTACAAAATGTCTTCAGGGGGAAAAAAAAAGAGGTTGCCACAAAGTTTCAAAATGGAGAATATAATATTCAACAAAAGGAAGTAGGTGTGCCATAAATGTTATTTTTATTCTGACATAATTAAAATTATTGCATATGTCTTTCAAACATCTGCTGCCTAGGTATTTGCATGGTGCCTGTTACAATATTGATTGATGCTGGCAAAGATGACATTTTTGTCCCTCGAATGATTGTGGATAATTCGCCTTTATTTATTTATTTATTTATTTATTTTATTTATTTAATTATTTATTTATTTATTTTAATTATTTATTTATTTATTTTAATCTGACTTAAATAATAAGTGCCAATGTTGTCATGTCTACATGTTATCTCACTTGATTTAAATCAATGATTAAAATTCGGATTCTCCAAAATCCCAATCATTTAGGACCTTGGACTTCATACTGTGTATGCATAACTTGAAAAAGTCATAATGTCAAAAAATAATGCATGCAGAATTGAATAAATTTTATATAAAATTGGTCATATTTTTTTTACATGAATTTAAGATAAATGAATTTTCAGTAAAAGAAATTTTTAAAGGCTGTTCTTTCACATAACGTTTACACTCGACACAGTTGCGAATAAATATGAATTTTCATAATTCCTTCTCATTCATAATATATATATATCTTAAATTTGTTTCATTCAATTAAAAAAAATTAAAGCTTAGAACACCAAAATAAAATTATTTTAATCTTTACATTAATAGTTCTCCAATTTAATTTTTCAAAAATTAAAGATTACGCACAGTTTATCATCTTATTTCCCACCCCTCTTCTTAAAAAAAAGTTAAATTATTTTCTTATTTTTAAGCTTTTAATAACCACATATGTAAAAAGAAGAAAAAAGTTACTTTTCCATCTGAATTTTAACTTTAGAAGATTGTGAAACAATACAATGATTGTGAAAATAACAGAGATGTTTATTGAAAAACTAATGAAGGAAACAGTCTTGTTGATATCTTCTTCGTATTTACAATAAAAAATTTTACTGTGGGTACCTCATATTTGTCCCATCTCTTCATCATTTTGTCTTGTTTATTATAAAACAGCATATACTTCCCAAAAGAAACTGGTAAATTCAGATAAAAATGTTCCTTTTTTGTCTTTTTTTATAGTTGCAAATACAAAACAAGTTTCACTGTTGGTCCTTTATTACACCTTCTGTAATTTGAACAAATTATATCAATCAGATTTAGAATCCTCTACTTCATCTTTGATGTCATTTAGTTCTTTATCACTCAAGTCATCACCAAATTCATCAGGATCTTCATTTACTGAATCATCATCATCTTGAACCTGTGAAATGCAATATTATAATTAATTTTTACAATAGTGAATATCATCTTTAAATCTTAACATCTTCAGTATACAAACATATTATCCACTAGTGTGCAAAACTCAAGCAACAAATTCATTTTTCAACATAAAACCATCAAATTGCTGAAAAGGACTTATTGCTATAAGTATAATGAAAAGTTAATTCACTAGACAGGTGATGGATATGCAAATATCAGCAACATGATTTTGGCAACACAATTTTTTTGGGTGGGTGGGGGTGGCAGAATTTTATTAGGTCTCGTTGAATTGCTTGCAATTAAACAATAACTTATATTTCAAACAGTCAAAAGTCTTTAATCCGGACCTCAAAGCTACAAACTTTTTGCACATGCAACAATGCATACGCATACGCGTTTAATGTATAACAGAGGGTATAAGATAAGCTAAAATTATCTAATTATCTATTTCAGTTAATGTTGGAGATTGCGTTGTTCCTTAATCTTCTAATCAGATCCGGCTTATTATTTTTTGCAGACTGTTGGGAGCAATTTTATAAAAGTAAGCTTGAACTTTCGATTATGTCAAAAAGAATTTCCAATTCTGGAACTACCAAAGGATCTACAAAGTGAAAGCATGTTTCGATGTCCATCAAACAAAAAGTGGAATTGCTGCAAAAAATGGATAAAGGCATATCTTTTGATTGTCTAATCATTCCGAAATATGTTTATCAATTTCACGCTGCTCTGCAGGGGGGGGGAGGGGCGACGCGGCGTGCAATGAACTGGAAGCTTATGTGTCAGCACTATCCTTATCTTCAGGGCAGATGTTTTTATTTTATTCGGCTTATAATTCCTTACTAAATGTAGTACAGTCAAAAGTCGTTAATCCGGACTCGTCGGGACTTCGGCGATTCCGGATTATAGATCATCAGTTTAAATCGCGTAGGATGGCATGCAGAAATTCTAAAATTAAAAATATGAAACCGTAATTTATGAAATAAGGAACAATTATGATCTAAAGGGTATCAAAATTTACAAAAAGAAAAAGCTTAATATTTATTTGTTTACTTTATTAAACATTTCTTTCAATGTAAGTTGTTTCGTTTTATGTGATAATACTTTCTCTTTAATTCTATAAACAGACATCATTTTTTGTTCACTTACAAAGTTCCGCTGTTCAAGTCCCATTAATTGCTGTGCCGAGAATACCGACTAACTTGTCAATCGAAATTTTTTCGTTTTCACTAACCTCTCTGTCACATTCTTCATGTCTTTTTATTTTATCCATTTTTTGCAGCAATTCCACTTTTTGTTTGATGGACATCGAAACATACTTTCGTTTTTGTACGATCCTTTGGGAGCTCCAGAATCAAAAATTCTATTTGACATAATCGAAAGTTCAAGTTTACTTTTTTAGTATTGCTCTTACAGTCTGCAAAAAATAATAAGCCGATCCAATTCGAAAATTAAGGAACAACGCAATCATCAACATTAACTGAAATAGATAATTATATAATTTTAGCTTACACACCGTCCGTTATACATAAAACGCGCACGTGAAAAACGTATTCTGCACTTGCGCACACGCAAATGCGCGCGCAGTCGTAAAGAGGTCTTACGTGCACGCGTAAACGCCTATGCGCATGTGTCAACGCGGAGCATGTGCAGAAAGTTTTTAGCTTTGAGGTCCGGATTATAGATCATTCCGAATTAACGACTTTTGACTGTATTTCATCTCGATATATCGATGCACTCCGTCTTTGATATGACTGAAATCAAATTCCTCGTCATTATAAATATCACGAATACACATCAAATAATTTTCTGGTTGCAATTTTCTAATTCTGACTATGCGTAAGGTATGCTTTACACATGGCGCACGTTGAAAGAAATGTTTAATAAAGTAAACATATATATATAAAGCTTTTTTTTTTTTTTTTTTTTTTTTTTTTTTTTTGTAAATTTTGATACCCTTTAGATCATAATGGCTCTTTATTTCATAAATTACGATTTCATATTTTTAATTTTATTTTCTGCATGCCATCTTACCAGATTTAAACTGATGATCTATAATCCGGAAAAACCGATAATCTGGAATTGCCGAAGTCCCAACGAGTCTGGATTAAAGACTTTTGACTGTACTAAATCTAGTTAAAAATGGAGTAAAAATGTATGCACATATGAAGCATTTCTTTATTAAAATAGACATATTTCATCATATGTCAAAAAAGATATTTAGGTTACAAAACATTTATATTTTAGTTAATTAGAAGTTTAAATGGAAGAGAAACATGTTGCAAAATTTGAAATAAGGAACAAAATGCAAGATTAGATTGGTTTAGATTCTGAATTCTCTATCATTTTTCAAAAATATATTAATGTAGGTCCCTCTTCATCATTTGTGAAAAACTGAGATGTGTAAACAATCATCTTATAAAGAAATGAATGGACTGCACAAAGAGAGAACAAATGTAGCACCATCTGTTGAGAAAAACTGTAATGAAACGCGAGATAGCTAAGATATTGGAACTTTGAAAGCACTAGAAGAAACAGATTGGAATTAATGCCATTAACTTAAAAAGGCAAATTTTTTATGAATCTGAGACACTTAAAGAAAATCTAATTTATCAATAGAAGAAGCTTAGTGGATAAATTTTGCGAGTCAAAATTGACATCTATAATTAAAAGTCATTTGACACATATCAAAGATTTATTTATCATTACTTTTCAAACATACTTATTTTTTTATATTAACACTAGACACTTTAAAAACTAAATAACAAATATAATGAATACATTAACAAAATATTATATAGATTCTTACTTCAACACCTAGCTCTTTTAACTTCTTTTTTAGTTCCCATATTTTGTCACTTTGTTCAGTAACTAACATTAGCATATCTTCCTGCTCTTTCTTAATGATATTTAGCTGTTCTTCCAAGCTATTTTTTTCTTCTTGGAGACTTTGAAGATTCTAAGAGGGGAAAGAAATTATATAAATTTTTGCACTGAAAATTCAAATATAATCATTATTTGATTTACAATAACTATTAAAAATCATATTATGCACTAGAAGTGTTCAAAGAGATAACATAGTTCTTAAACTTACACCATGAAAGAATACACCCCCTGTATTATAAGAGTAGAATATAAATTTTCATCTGTAAAACCGAATAGCAAAAATTCTTTACTACAATTGCTTAAAAATTACCAAAACAAGCAAAGTTATATTTAAATGGCAACAAAACCTATCACCTGCATTCTGCTGACTAAATACTAATGTAATAGCAAAGGGTATAGAAGATATTAAAACTTATACACAAAATGCTTGAATATAATATTTTTAAAAATAAGGATTTTCTATATATTCTAATGTTTAAAAGTTTTTAAATGCTTAACTCTTCTTTTGAGCTGTTAACTCCAGTCTGAAGTACCCCAAAAATTTTCAGTTCCACCCTCCCCAAACTGTGGATTTGCAATACATAAATAAACTTCAAAACTTCATAAAATCTAAATTTAGAAACCATACAGATATACCCAAACATACCATTTGTGATACTTTCTTAGATTCAATTAACTCTTTGCTTTCCTTAATTTCTTCTTCTAATTTCTTTATTATTTTATCTTTCGTTTCTATTTCTTGCTGTAGATCTTGCACAAGTTGACTGCTTTCACTACCAACAGTAACGTGTGAATCCCCACATTCTGGAAATTGGTTCATTGCATCATCCTGCTGATATTAAAGAAAAAGGAAGTCAGCAAAAACTTCATGCAGAAAACTGTGCATTAAACATAATCATTATTTTATAACTATTCATGAAATTCTTGAAAAGTATGTGAATGAAACCAACATCCAAATTTAGCCTCCAAATTTTCCAACTAAATTTCAAACATTACACAATTAATATATAATGCTACTTTACTTCAAGTTATCTTTTCTACAATACCAAAATTTTTAGTTATTTCTCTCCTGTTATACAAAGTACCTCACTGCAGCTATAAATAGAAAAAGCACCTGCTTTTCCCGCAATTGCTTTTATGAATGCACTTGAATGTGCAATGCTGTGTAAACTTAGATGTTAATTTTTTTTTTAAAAGAAACAACAAAGTGGAATTTTTATCAAAATATTTGCCCTTAGTATCTGTGCCATTCACAAAACTGAATTAACTCAAAGAGATGGAGGGCATTCATTTATAACACAAAATTTCTGTTTAAATAATTCTCTTTACTTTTGAACTAAGAACAATTTCATATTTTTAACGTTTCAAAACCTGAGTTGCTTATTAACATTTATTAAAATCCATTCTTTATCTGAATGCAATTCTGAATAAAAATTTGCTAAACTTTAGCCTTGTGCCATCATTACAACAATGAAAATTATAATCAAATCACTGTGAAATGAGAAAAACCAGAATGCAGAATGCAACCTTCTCCTTCACTGTGTAAGAAATTATATAGATACATAATCAAAACTGAATTAATTTTCATGAATTAGCTCTAGGATGTCACTCAAAGAATATTTATATTTATTTCTTGGAAAGAGGTCAATTCAGCTGTATACACCGGTGTAAAAACCTGGATACAAAGAGAAAAATTCTTGTTTTGAAAGAAATTATACAGACCTATAATGCCATCTATATTCTCTAAATTAAAAAGCTTTCATTAATTAAGATACAATAACATACCAAACAATTATCAATTTAGAAGTCAAACAACAAAAATCATCGTTACATTTTAAATTTTCACAGGACTAGTTTCGATGGTTTTACAGAACCATCATCCTCAGCTGAAAAAGTGCAAATGAACAAGATACGATAAGAAAGATAGGGCAGAAGTTTTGGAATTAGGGTCGTTAATTAGAACAGAAAGATTTTTTTGAATGTGAAATGTCTCTAGAAAATCTAATTCACCAATGGAAGATGTTTTTTGAATTTTTTGAAAAATTGAAAGTGTTATTTTCAGACCAACAATGCTGGGCAACAGACTTTGATTCAATTGAGCAAGGCATACTGGAATAAAGAATCGTTTTGCAAAGGATTTATTTGTGTTTTTTTTTTTTTTTTTCCTCTAACGTATGCCTCATGTTCCTTAACGCGAAATTTTAAGGCTCTCTTAGTTCGACCAATGTAAATTACACCACACTGGCAAGGAGACCTCAAAATACCCCAAGAATTCATATCTGGAATGGGGTCCTTGAGTATGGAACTTGGAATTTTTTTGATGGGAGAATAAATGACATGAAAGTAAAATTTCTGTAAAATATGTGCAATTTTATAACTAATTGATGGAAAGAAGGGAATGACAACTTTAAGGAAATTATGTTTTAATTCTCATTTCATCAACAGATGGCGCCAGTAGCTTAACTCCAGCTCAGTCATTCTTATCTTTTCTCGTTCATTTTCACTTTTGCTGCTGATGATGATCAAAACTACTCCTGTGAAAATATTTAAAATATAACGATGATTTTTGTTGTTTGACTTCTAAATTAAAGCTTCCATTAGTTAACTAATGCTACTTATTATACTCATTTTAGGAAAAAATTCAAATGAGCAAGGCATACTGGCATAAAGAATCGTTTTGCAAAGGATTTATTCATCTTCTATTAGGCAGAAATCATTCGAGCAAGTTAAGTTCACTTGTAAGCTTATGGTGTATAAGCTTTAATGAGAGCTATTTTCATTCATGAACACATACAAGTTAATTTTTCTCTTTAAAACAAATCTAATACTAATGCAACTTTTAAAGCAATTCCTCGTTAAGCCTTTAAATCTTTTTTAACCTCTTTAAAACCAACTTAATACTAATATTAATGCAATCAAACTAAAAGTTTTAGTTAAAATAAAAATGTACTCCTCTTAATGTAAGTGTTATATAAATTATAAGAAGAAACCAATCATTTTCAGGTTATGAAATACTGCAAGTTCTGCCTTAAAATAAAGTAATATTCTGTCAAGTTAAAATGATATCCTTATTCCCCATCACAGTTCAGAGCAACAAGGCAATAGACTAATGAAAAAATACATAAATATATGAAATAATAAAAGCCCAAGGAAAAGCCGAAATACTGTTGATGCGTGCTTAGATCCATATTGAAGAAGAATTTTGATTGTGTAGTATCTAAAGAATTTGGTAGTCGTGGCAGTTTTAATTCCATTTTTTTTTCCAACTGATATTTGTAGCCACAGATCACTTGGCACTCTAGTTGTGCCTTTCCACAGAAGATTTACATTTTTGGTATTATTCAGATAGAAAGCAAGCCAGTGAAATTACATCTTAGCACAGTAGAGAGCAAAAGCTGAAGTACATAGTTATGGAAGATGGAAGCATGCAAAGAGAAAAGTTTCGGTTTGCAATTTGGTGATTATTAAATCGCATGATTAATTTGAATAACGCAGTTTAGACTTAAACGCTATTTTTAGGACAGATAGATGAAATAGAAAATAAAAGGGGTTATAGTGAATTAAATTTAGAAGTTTGCTTTCATATTTTTTATCTTACACATCTCCCCTTTCAAAAGAAAAAGGCGGAGTGATAGAGAAGCCTTTTTGAGACAAAAGCACTAGAGTAGCAAAATATGAGATATATAATTTTCAAACATACAAAATATAATATTAGCTTTTAAACAATAAAATTATAATATGTAAAATTTTGAGTTCAATAATAATTTTTTAAAGTCCTATGATGATTTGAGTCCAATCTGTAGAAAGTTATTTTTTCTGGAACATTTATATCATAATTTTGATACTCCAAGGAAGGATTTCCAAAAATTTTGCCATACCAGATCACAATTATAAAAATTTTATATACCCATTAGTTATTACGAATGATCATAAATCTTAAAATTTACACCAAACTAATTGTCACATTTATAGGTAATACTTATCATCTGGAATAGCATTGTTGAAATTATAGTTTCTACTTTTACTACTTTTGTTACATTTTTTTTTATTTTACGCAAACTAGAAGACTAGGCTTTCTCCTAGTACATACTTCCAGCTATTTGAGCAAATCCACTCATGTAATAAATTTTCATGAGTGGTTAGTGAACTGTGCTACAACATTCCATTATATTAAAAAATCACATTCCATAAAATGAAAAAATAAAAATCTTGTATAAAAAATAAAGTGGGAGCCTTCAAAGTTTATATTATATTACATGACAAGGGTAAAAGGAACAATTACGCAGAGGTAAACAGGCCTCTGTGAACCAATACTCCCTCAACATAGTTTATGTTTAACATACAGTTATTGATAATTATAACATTCATTTACCATAATTCCAAACAAATTTCAATACATTGTACTGTTAATTAAATTCTAATATAAATTTTATTACCATTATTCAATTTTCTTAAGTCTTTGATATTTGTATATTAATTTTAACACTATTTAGTATTCTCCCATATAATAATTATTTCATTATACTTCATATAGACATCATTCTAAAAAATAATTATAAAATTCTTAAAATTCAAAATTTTTAAACAATAATCTTAATTACATAATAATTTCAAAATTTTTATCTTGTCAAAAATAAATTCAAAATTTTTAACATTAATTCAAAAATTTCTGACAAACTTATAACTACCAATAACAATAAAATTAAAAAATCTTCTCTGAATAAAATCTTGGAATACTTATGACATTTTAATTTTTTGCTAAAGCAGTGCCACTTTTTTTATATTCATTGAATTAAAATCATTTTGTAAGAAAACACCATAGTTTCAGATTTCAAAAAATATAACCAATTATTGAGTAAATTCTTTATAATGATGCAGTTGGAGAAAAACTCAAAACACTTTTTATCACAACATCAAAACACAAATTCGGAATATGGGCACTTAATTTTCTGAATGGAAACTTTGAAGAATAAATTTAGAACACTTCAATACTACTTTTGATGACACCGTAAATCACTTCCATACTTGTTGAAGCATTATATTTCGATGTTACAGTTACCTTAGCCTGATTGGGAATTTAGATGAACAGTTTACTCTTTCATTTTATCCATTCGTGAAACGATGCGAGATTAAATGAAATAAACGTCCCTTTGTGATTAGTAGCACATAATCCAATCTTGTATGACTAATTGAAATAGTAAAAGCCCAAGGAAATGCCGGAACACTGTCGATGCGTGCTTAGATCCATATTGAAGAATTTTGATTGCGTAGTATCTAAAGAACTTGGCAGTCACGGCAGTTTTAATTCCATTTTTATTTCCAATTGATATTTGTTGCCACAGATCACTTGGCACTCTAGTCATGCCTATCTTAGCAGAGTAGAGAGCAAAAGCTGAAGTGCGTAGTTATGGAAGATGAAATCACGCAAAGAGAAAAGTTTTGGTTTGCATTTTGGTGATTGGTCAAGAAGCATCTGCATGAAGGGTTAGGTAAGACTGCATGATTAATTTTAATGACGCAGTTTAGACTTACAGCACTATTTTTAGGACAAAGCGATGGAGTTTCCAAATGAAACAGAAAATAAAAGTGGTTATAGTGAATTAAATTTAGAAGTTTGCTTCAATATTTTTTATCTTACATACATACATATATATATATATATATATATATATATAAATTACAACATCAATTCATAATAAAGCTGTTGTTCTAAAGTAACAGTCAGCATATTTAGTTCATATTCACATTCAATAATTATGTCAGTAGATAAAATGATTCAGGTGCAACATATTTTGTTATAAAACAAAATTAAAACATATTCATTATACATGTTCAATTCATGGCATTTATATACATCAATTAAGCTGTCTAAATTTATGAGACTTAAATTTATTGTATTAATATGATAATCAAAATCTATTAAAACTATTGGTTCAGTAAACAAATTAAAATTGCATAATAACATAATATTTGAAAAATTGATCGCACAACAATCACAAATTATGAAGAGGATTGAATTCAACAAACCAGCTAAGGAAATATGAAAGAGAAAATCTTTACAAAATAAGATTTTTCAAATACACTGGTGCACAAAATTAAAAGAACAACTATAAAATGGTACTTTATGTTAATTCAATGAAGTGGTGTCCAATGAAAAATAATGGGTTGGTAGCTCAAGGTATATGTTGTTCCTCAGTCCAATGTGATTCACCTTTGCTCCACAAATTAGGCAAATTTTTGTGTCTTTTCTTTCAGCACACGTGGAAAGGAGTACTTAAAATTCTAATTTCAAATACTGTAGTATGAGCAGTTGGTTAAAAATTTTGCACATGGAAGGTAAAACATGTTGTTAAGAAGACATTTGATGGATTATGAGAAATTGAGGGTGGCTGAGAAAATGGAAACAGGATAGGCACTGATACAGGTCACAAAAGTTTAAAGGCGACCAAATGCATCATGTCAAGAATATGGAAATGGCTTAAAGACACTGGCAATGTATGCAAATAATCTGATCAAGGTTAAAAAATGCCACAACAGAATCTAAGGACTGTTATTTGGCAATGATTGCTTAAAAGAAATAAACAACTGATGTTAGCTCAGATTACATGGGGCTTTGCTGGAGCTAGAGGACCTCGACTATCCAGTTATGCCTTCAGTGAAAGGCTGCCACATAGTCCTCCCCCCCCCCAAAAAAAAGGAAAGAAAAAAAAAAAGACTGTATGCAAAGAAATGCACGGTTTGTGTCCACAAACTCAGGCTGTGAAATGCACCTGGTTGCAGTGGTGCAGAGATCATCTTGAATGGACTATCACGAACTAGAGCCAAGTTTTTTACTGATATGTCTCGTTTTTGTTGGGAGAGTGTTTCAGACATGCTACAAATAGCTGTACTGGCCAACACATTTTTACCAGTGCAACTATGAATGCTGAAAGATACAGAGATGAGGTTTCTGATCCTTATGTGAAGCTGTTTGAGAATATAATTGGTAACAAACTTTCTGCTAAAAGACAATAATATTTACCCACATGACACTGCACTGCTGAGTATCTTGAAGGTAAAGGAATGCCAAGGGTTGAGTAGACCATGTAGTCTTTGGATTTTTATCTGGCAGAACATGTATGAAATGTGCTAAGACATCAAGTTCTATCACCGTAGTCCAAATTTACCACTTTCCAAGAGTTTCAAGATATAATTCATTATAAATACACTTTCTTACCATAGAAACTTCTGGACAATAAAATACACAACATAAATAATCATTGCAAAATTAGCATTTCGATCTGGGATGACAACACACCTAGTTAATTTTACTATGTATCTCTAAAAAGATGAAACATCAACTTTCCCTCATTTCATATTGTATGACACTTGCTATATTGTCATTTAAAATATTTTTTTTTTTTTTTGCAAAAATTGCCAATTCTGTATTCTGAAGATATGCCACATATAACAGAAAGGAAATCTTGTATAAGTTCCATGTTTTTAGATGAAATATCAATGAGTTTTTACAGTTATTCCTTTAAAATTTTCCATCAGTATAAAATATCACTACCCACATATTTTTAATAATAACATAAGCGTACATGCACATTAACATCAAACAAACAAACAAAAAAGGGGAGGAAGAACAAGATGTAGTACTAACTTTTTGACTTTGTTTTGCACTTCTTGCATCAAGTTCCTGTTGTTTATTGTTACATTCAATTTTCAGCTGCTCAATTTCTTGCTTTAATTGTAGAACTTCATGACTAGATGTATTACCAGAAACAGCTTTAAAAAGATTTAAAATAATATAAAAATATGAAAGAATTAAATGAAATAATATCTGCTATTTTACAAAATATATATTACTTATCTTTACCTCTCTTGTGACCTCATTGTTTATGTAATATGTACACAATAAATATCTGTTTAAAATGAATTTGATTACTATATATAGAACACACTATTAAATGAGGGGTGGGTGGAAAAATTGAAAAATTCATAACTTTCACTTCAGAAATCAAGCAAAAATAACATTTGTTGCTATGTTCTAGTGTAACTATAGCCACCAAATTTTCAGAATGTGCCAGCCGAACTCTGGCAGCCATGAAACATAAAGCACTGTTCCCACTAGAGTTAATGAAGTCAGCTCCATGTGTCGACTAGTTCTGCTATGCCTGCAGTTCGTATTTTTCAACTTGCTGCCCTATGAGAAAAACTGGTGTATATGCTTCCCCCCCCCAATGGTTTGTACTGACCAATTGTGATATTTTTTGTCTTAAGCTTAATTCATATACAGTTTTATAGAATTTGTCTTCAAAGGAATAAACCACAGTAAAACTTTGGATGTATACTGCATTTTGCTGCAATTACTAAGAGAAAAGAATTGCTCCAAATCTATTCTTAAAGCAGTCCCCAATGAAATATCTCCGATGCTACTTTGATAGATGGGCACACGGGTTTTGGGCAAAAAAAAAAATTACATTTGGTGGTAGATGATTGATTGATACAACTTTTGGCAACCCATTGTTGCACCAATGATTTATGGTAACCCATAGTTTAAATGCTGTACTGTTTGATATCATTTAATTTTTAAAATAATGCATTTTAATATTTATAAATTCTGTGTTTTAAATATTATTTACTGTTAAATATTAAAAATCGATTTAAATTTGCATCTTTTGAAATACTGATTTTGTTACGTATGATATTTTAAATAATTTCATGCTGTGGATGATATAATCAATGATACACTTTATTTCTAAAATAATGCATTTTAATATCTATAAATTTTGAGTTTTAATCCGTATAAATCTTGTGTTTTAAATATTACTTATGGCTGTTAAACATTAATATACAATTCAATTTGCATTTCTCTTTGAAAAACCAATTTCATTATTTATGATTATTGGCTCACTGATTACAGGCAGTGCCAGTTTAATCTCATTTTGGGCCCTGGGCACAGATCTATGGACCCCCTTGGCACTGGCAGATCCAAGGAGGGGCTCTTGGATCCACTAACAAATGAAACAAAATTTTAATGTTTAATTTTTATTGTAAATATATATATATAACAAAACAGCGTTCTTATAAAAATATTGAAAATAAAAACAATATTCTAAAGTATAACATAAAAAAAGGTAAAAATAAAAATATTATTCCAAGATATAACATAACAAAAATTATATTCTTTTTCGTGACTTAATATTGACAAACTGACGTATGATAATTTCACTATTTAAGTTTCTCCAGTACATTATATTCTATATATAATAGTGACAATGTAACAAAATTTTCTTGACTCAAATTATACCTTATTATTATATGTTTTTATTCTTTTTGGGGCCGAAAAAGATTGTTCGTCCGATGTGTTAGAATCCCACTATCCTGCAACCAGTATAATAAATCTATTATTTTATTTGTCCGACAGTCCACACTCCATTATTTATTCATAACACTTGCGTTATGTATTTGGTAATTGGTAAGGTACTGTCTGTAGTCTAATTCATCTGCCTGCTTCTTGATGTAAAGCACATTATAGCTGTCATCTCACTCTTATCACCCAGCCCTGCTCAGGCATTAGATATCGATGGACAATATGGACATGAATGTGCAGGTGAGAGGCATGGATTATTTTCACAAAACATTTGCTATTTTTCTAAAGAATTCTTATCTTCAACTATATTATCGAATTTTATAACCAGAAATTCTGGCTGGGTCCAGTTTATCAGGGCCCCTCCGGGAACTGGGCCCTTCAATGCCCGCCTCAAGCGTTCAATAGATAAAGAACAAATTTGCTTTATTATTGAAGCTATATTTACCATAGCCTATATACACATGATCGTAAATTTGAAATTTTTTAAAATTCTAAATTTCTTCTTATTCTATAGTCTTTCAAAATTAGTTTTTTGAGTACATGCAATTTAAGTATGTGCAAAGAATTTATTTGTCCACAACTTTTCAGATGTTAAGTTCCAGTCATAAGACTTTGGATTGTTTAAACCAGAAACAAACACAGATAGATTATAACATTAGAAAAGCAACAACCTCGTATTTGGCATAGATTTTAGTCAAAACCAAAATCTATGCCAAATACAAGGTTGTTTGTTTACTAATTTTATGTTTTACTTTGGTATGTTTATCTTCCATCTTGAGGAATTGATGACTTAAATAAGCAGAAATGGAAAACTTGGCAATGAAAAATTAACTAAAGAACATTAATCAAACCAAAATTTAAATTCTGGCACCTTTTGTTAACTGCTAATATTGTTATTCTAATGGTGTATGTGATCTACCACTTTCAGCAGTTATTCATGTCTTAGATAGCGCCACTAAAATGTTATTTTTTAAAAATAAAAAATAAATATAAATAATTAAAAATGCATAAATGAAATTGATTCCGTTAATTTAATAACTATTAAAATATTAGATTAAAATTTTATTAAATGAATTCTTTAAATTCACAAAGCAAACAGACTATCTTTAAAAGAATCGTTTTTATGAGCCATCGGGCCAAATACAACACAATTTAAAATTTGTGTGGAAGGGAAAAAAATAATAATATAATAAATAAATAAATAAATAAAATCATTTTATACTGGATTTCATCATTTCTTTGCGGAGTTTACATGAAAGCATTGTGGTGTGGTACTCACATGTAGCTTATAAATTTAAAAATCAATAGCTTTCATTTTGAAGGTATTATTAAGGGGAAAAAAAAGAAATGATTGAAAATATTCAATTAAAAATACTAACTAAAGCAGTACATTGCATACACTGTTATTATACAACTGCACAGGTCAGAATAAAACCCAAGATTAAATCTAAATATGAAAATCCATATAAATGTAGTTCGTCCTTGATTGAGAAAAAACACCTGGAGCCATCGAATTTTGAATACAGTCCTCCACCCGAACATGTGCACCTAGAAGACAGAATTTTTAATTTGTTTTTTATTTATTTCAATTTTGTACGAATTTAATAAATTTTTGATTGATAAACTCGGCTATTTAAAAATGAGCAGTGGCAACACGTTCGATATATAACATTTTTATCTCCAGCACACACGAGTGTTGTCATTTTAGCAAAATACACCATAGATATCTTTCAATTTTAATCAGCAAACTTGGCTATTTAGAAGTAATGCCTGAAATAAAATACTTTCATCTTCCTCAAGCCAATGTGCTGTCATTCAGTAAAGCATTTAACTTTCAAATTTAATCTGTATATTATTGAGTAACAAATTAAGCAATTTTTAGCAAATAAACTTAGATATTAAGGATATGTTTCTACTTTTTAATCTGATTGATTTAAATAAATAATGAGATATCTAATTAGATTAATATTATCTAATTAATTTCATAAAAATAGTAATAACTATTTTTATGAAATTATACTAGCTAGATTAATTCAAGTCATTATATGTATTTTCTTTTTTAAGATAATTATTACAGGTGGCTTGCCATGCAAGTGACATGTTTAAGAAAGCTGTTACTGCAAGGAGTTTTATAAATAATGTAATTATTTTAAGGAATTTTGTTAGCAGGTACACTATTTTTTCCCATAAAGCATTTATTTTGGATGGGTTTCCGCAGTATAATTTTATATTTTCTCAAATATTTCAATCTCATTCATTCTTTTTCTTTCCAATGCTCCCCCCCCTTATATTGCTGTTTTCTTTTCTTTCTTTTTCCTTTTTTAATGCAGTTGTACTTAAAAAAAAAAAAAAAAAAAAAAAAAAAAAAAAAAAAAAAAAAACACCACTTTTGTACCAATCTACCCTAATTTAGTAATTCTCAAGGTAGGGTATGTTTCGATAGTTACTTATATGCAAGGAATCTAGATTTTATGTAAAATTTACAATGGAAGAAATGCAAATAAAATTCACAGTCATGACCTATAATCCACAAAATTCTCATAATCCAAAACTCTTGATTCCAAGATGTATAGATTATGCTAATTATAGGAAAACATGCCTTACATAATAATTTTCAAGTATAAGATTGCATTTTATCATAACTTTTTTAATCCTCAGTCCAAACATGTCTTTTTCAAGTCGTGCCAGTTCCTTTTTTAAGTACCTATATATATATATAACTTAAAAGGAAAGATTCAGATACTTTCAGTCATGACTGATATAAAACACAATTTTCTTTATTCACGAGAAGCAGAATTTTAAAATTACAGAATCTGTGCAATCTGCACACAATCATCTTGATCACATATTCATCTACTGTACTTTTATGATAATATGATAGACAAAAGAGGTAAAAAAATAAAAAAAGCAGCTTCAAAAAGAATGCTTAGGACAAAAATTATTTGAGTTCCACTTCACACTTTCCCCAATGTTCTCAATGGCATTTTATAAAAATTCTACTTTAAATCTTATCTGCTTAAGCAATAATGTAAATGATCATAGTTAGAGTGATCATCATTAGTTAGTTAATTTTCCACCATAAATTAATGCTATGTGGAGACCAGCATTTATTTACAAGTATGCAATTTTTTACTGGACTGCTTCAACATAACGTTTGCAACATTTCCTACAAGTTAATAATTTAAGTATGTGAAAGAAACGACCTGTAAATCTTCCATTTATTTTTCAAGAATTGTTAATATTGATTAAATAGGCTTTTATCATTAATAAATACAGTCAAAAGTCGTTAATCCGGACTCGTCAGGACTTCAGCGATTCCGGATTATAGATCATCAGTTTAAATCTTGTAAGATGGCATGCAAAAATTCTAAAATAAAAAATATGAAACCGTAATTTATGAAATAAAAAACAATTATGATCTAAAGGGTATCAAAATTTACAAAAAAAAAAAAAAAAAAAAAAAAAAAAAAAAAAGCTTACTATTTATTTGTTCACTTTATTAAACATTTCTTTCCATGTAAGTTGTTTAAGTTGCTTCATTTTATGTGATAATACTTTCTCTTTAATTCTATAAACAGACATAATTTCTTGTTCAGTTACAAAGTTCTGCTGTTTAAGTCCCGTAATTGCTGTGCCGAGAATATCGACTAAGTTTGTCAAACGAAATTTTTTCGTTTTCACTAACCTCTCTGTCACCTTCTTCGTGTCTTTATCCATTTTTCTGCAGCAATTCCAATTTTTGTTTGATGGACATCAAAACATACTTTCGTTTTGTAGATCCTTTGGGAGCTCCAGCATCAGAAATTCTATTTGACATAATCGAAAGTTCAAGTTTACTTTTATAAAATTGCTCTTACAGTCTGCAAAAAATAATAAGCCGGTTCCAATTCGAAGATTAAGGAACAACGCAATCATCAACATTAACTGAAATAGATAATTAGATAATTTTAGCTATATCGTCGGTTATACATAAAACGGGCACGCGAAAACGTATTCTGCACTTGCGCACACGCATAAGCGCAGTCGTAAAGGTCTTATGCGCACGCATAAATGCCTATGCGCATGTGTCAACGCGGCGCATGCGCAGAAAGTTTTTAGCTTTGAGGTCCGGATTATAGATCATTCCGGATTATGGGTGTCCGAATCAACAACTTTTGACTGTATGAGAATTTTTTTAAAGAAGTATAAAGCAGCATACATCGCTGTGCTTTCAATAAAGCATTTTGATCTTTCAGCTGCTGTATAGTACTCGTCATATCTTCAACTTGTGTTTTTGATAATTCATACTCTGACTTCAATTCAGCAATCTGACTTTTCAATTCATGCAGTTGCTGGTCCTTTAAAAAAATACAAAATATTAGTATTTTTTAGTGTTTCAACAGGAACAACTTTCATTAGATGAAGTTGTGCCTATAAAATATTAAATTATTGCTGAGAATACCAGTAAAAACTTTTTTCAGCCATAAAAATAGTTTATAAGAAAATTAATTACTAATTCAAAACAAACATATCACATATTCTAAAGGCATGGAAAAAAGCTTTCATAAATTGACACCATAAGTCTTATTAACCCTTTTGTGACGGTGCACCTTTGTTTAAGACGCTCGTGCGGGACGGAAGGGAATCGAAGGCAGTCACTGTACAGAACAGGGGTTTTGCATAGCTAAGCCTAATTTTATATATATATACATATATAAAAAATCTAAAAAATAAAGAAGTTTCACTTCTACCATTGTAATTTTTGGTATCATTTTAGATTATTACTTGAGCTCTTATATATGTTAAAATTAGCATTTAATAAAATTTTTTCTTTATTTTACATGCAAATATATTTAAAAAATTGCTTATCTTGTAAAATAATTTTTGGAAAATCTATTCAAATTATTCCAAAGTTTAAATTGATAAAATACATCAATAAAGTTTAAAATTAATAAAACAATATAATAAAGACTATTTACAGTAAGAAGTAACAGAACTTAAAATGAAGACTGAGTGTGGTAAATCTCGAAGCACGGAGAAGCATCACTTTTTAACCCTTTAGAAAATGAATCATCACTCTCAGCTGTGTTAGTAAATGGTTCATTAACCATATGAGCGTATTCTTCCTCTGAAAAATAGCGCCTCCATGCCATAACAGACGGAGGTGAGGCTTTCTGAAATAAAAAGAGACGTAATAGAGCTCCACATAGTAACCCTAAAAGACCATATATGGTAGAGGAAAAAATAGAATCAAAAAAGGAATTGGATACAAATCAGACACGCCAATGTTTATATTAGCATGCGGGGATTTAAAGAGACCACCTCTGTTTACGCTTTCCCTCCCTTCCACCTTCTCAACAGTTGATGAGTAAAATACCAAAGTCAGACAGAATATATCAAATTCAAGGTCAGGAACCTAAAACTGTGTTCATTTCAAAAGTAATGGACATAAGATGCCATCTAGTGGTCTTCAGAAAAATGTTTCAGCTTAAAATGTGTATATGCATCACCCGTCCTCCGAATGCAATCTCTAGTGATGGGTGGATGGGACGCCCGGCTGTTCTTGGGAAATGCGTATATGGGTGCCCGTCCTGAAAGGGTTAAAATGATGGTGGTGTGGTGTATTTAATTATGGCAAAGCACACTAGGGCTATCTGCCTAAGGAGAAGGATGCCTTCGTGGAGGACTTTCTAAGGGAAACTGGCTCGTATACACGTTTACACATGGGGAAAAAACCACGAAAACAGCCATGCAGCCAGCCCGTTCGCGGGATTCGAACCTCGGACTGAACTACCAGTGTTCGGGGACTTTACCGCTCGGCGCTGGTTTTCACAGGATATGTACAAAGTGTTGTACATTTTTATTTTAAAATTATATATCTAATTGCTTTAATTAAAAAAATCAAATTATAATATACTTAAATGATAAGTATAAACATCTGCAGCACATATAATTAATAAAAAATATTTCCAATGCCTCATATTTTGATGCAGAATTATTTTTCTGTTTCTTTACTTTTCATAAATCAAAGAACCTAATCTTGAAAGCATATTTTTATAAAATGCATCAAATGCTAATTTAGAAGTCAAACAACAAAAATCAGCATTATATTTGCAATGTATGAAATTACCTTTCTAAAAGATGTGAAAACATCAAAATTTATTTTTGCAATTTTATGTGGATTTTTAATTTCAGTCAAATGGAAGAAAACCATGCCAATATAAAATTTAAAATTAGGCAAAAACTAACCTATTGATTTCTATTTTAAATAATCTATTGATTTCAAAAGTGATCAGACACAGGTCCCTTGCCTCTGAACTGCTTTTTATTCAAAATCAATGCCAAACTACACTTGCTCTTTTGCCTAATTTTAAATTCTAATTCAAGTATTTTACAAAATACAGTCAAAAGTCTTTAATCCGGACTCGTTGGGACTTTGGCGATTCCGGATTATCGATTTTTCCGCATTATAGATCATCAGTTTAAATCTGGTAAAGATCGCATGCAGAAATCATAAAATTAAAATATGAAACCCATAATTATAAAATAATGAGCAATTATGATCTAAAGGGTATCAAAATTTACAAAAAAAGAAGCTTAAATTTATTTTTTTATTTATTTGTTACTTTATAACATTTCTTTCAACGCGCGCATGCGTAAAGCATACATTAGGCATAGTCGAAATTAGAAAATTGCAACCAGAAAACTATTTGATTTGTATTCATGATATTTATAATGAGGAGGAATTTGATTTAAATCATATCAAAGACCGAGTAGATCGAGATGAAAGACAACATTTAGTAAGGAATTAAAAGCCGACTAAAATAAAAACATCTGGCCTGAAGATAACGATAGTGCTGACAGATCAACTTCCAGTTCATCGCTCGCCGCGACGTCCCCCCCCCCGCGCAGAGCAGCGTGAAATTGATAAACAGATTTCGGAATGGTTAGATAAACAAAGGATATGCCTTTATCCATTTTGTGTAGCAATTCCACTTTTGGTTTGATGGACATCGAAACATACTTTCGTTTTGTAGATCCTTTGGGAGCTCCAGCATCGGAAATTCTATTTGACATAATCGAAAGTTCAAGCTTACTTTTATAAAATTGCTCTTACAGTCTGAAAAAAATAATAAGCCGGATCCAATTCGAAGATTAAGGAACAACGCAATCATCAACATTAACTGTAATAGATAATTAGATAATTTTAGCTTATACCGTCCGTTATTAAACGCGCACGCGAAAACGTATTCTACGCTTGCACAGACGCATATGCAAGTCGTAAAGGTCTTGCGCGCACGCATAAACGCCTATGCGCATGCGTCAACGCGGCCATGCGCAGAAAGATTTTAGCTTTGAGGTCCCGATTATAGATCATTCCGGATTATGGGTGTCCGAATTAACGACTTTTGACTGTAATAATTAAAAAAAAAAAAAAGGTTCAAGCTTCATTTTTAGTGAAGTCATCATAAATCTTACGTGTCAGCAGTGCTGCATGCAAAGGCATCCCTCTCATTTCACTCTCAGTTTACTGTTACCAAGACCAAAATAATGCAGATGTTTTGAAATTTATCCATACATGCACTGATTTCTGCTTTCAAATATCCTACTATGAGGCCCACCAGTAGCCGAATGGTAAAGTTCCTGAACGCTGGTAGTTCGGTCCGAGGTTTGAATTCCGTGAATGGGCTGGCTGCATGAGTGTTTTCGTCTTTTCCTTATGTTATGTGTTAATACAAGTCAGTTTTCCTTAGAAAGCCCTCCAAGAAGGCTCCCCTCCCTTCTATTTAGTGCCTTAGGGTGGAACACATAAATAATAATAAATATCCTACTAGAAATTAAACTACTTGCAAATTTTGCAGATTAAAAAACCTTTTTTTTTTTTTTTTTGTTTCACACAAATAAGCATTATCTACTATTTAATGCCATGCATGCTTTTGAGCTTTTGGTCATACAGCAAAAGTCCAAGATCCAGAATCATTAGGTATTTGGAAATTCCCGATTTTAGATTATCTGGTTAAATTTACTGTTAAAATTGTAAAATTAAAAATATGAAACAGCTGTATATAAACTAATGAAGCAGTTATAACCTTATAAAATAAAAGTATGTCTCATTCAACATTTCTTTTAATTTAAGCTGTTTTGCATTTTATACTACCGTATTTATGCGAATCTAATGCGCCATCGAATCTAATGCGCATCCCCATTTTAAAACTTTAAATAATAAAAAAATTGTTTGTCGGCGAATGTAATGCGCATCAATGATATGAGGAATTTATTTAATCTTATTTTATACAACAATGGATTTGTATATAAACTATCAATTAATGGTAAGATAATTTTATTTAAATTTAGATACCATATTTTATACAACAATGGATTTATACATAAAGTAGTAGAACATAGAATTAACCTATTAGTGGGCAATTGTTATGTCAAACAATCACTGTTAATTACCACTACCGTATATACGGTACCTATCGTAAAATATGAACATAAAATAAATCATAACATTTCTATCTAGCTAACAGTTTCTACAATTAGTGATTAATAGTAAACGTCTTTATTCACTGTTTTCATCACTGGAATCCTCTCAGCTCTTTTTGTCAGACGCAGATTCTTTTCTTCTTTCCTCATCATCATCATCGTCATCCTCGGCGTTCTAGAGCTAGTCATCTTCACTGCCATTCAATGAATTTGAAATGCAGAAACTCAGTGCAACAATGTGCGGTGCAGCACGCTTAATTTTTCCTGTTGGGGTCAATTCGCGGTCATCGGCGAACTTTGCACTCGAATCTAATGCGCACCCCAATTTTGAATACTACATTTGGCCAAAAACGATGCGCATTAGATTCGCGTAAATATGGTAATTTTTCTTTAATTTTACAGAAAGACAATTTTTTGTTCAATTACATAATTTCCTTGTTCAGATCCTATAATTGGCATACTGAAAATTCTCATTAAATTGACAATAGAAATCTTCAAATTATCAAAAAACTTCTTTGTCACTTTTTTCACTACCAGTATTGAAACTTTCTAGATTTAAAATCCACATTACAGATTTCGCAGTCTGTTAGATGATTGAGGCATTGTCATCACAATGGAAAACTTCTGCTACGTTCATTTATTATTATTTCTCCACATTTTTACTTCCTTGTATGAAGTAAAAAGGAAGTATTGTAATCGCGAAAAGTTTCAGGCAGCATATTTCAACGAAAATATCCATTTTGACCGCTATCGAATGCAATTTAACGATGTTTTTGCGTGATATCTGTACGTAAGGACAGAATAAAATACTCTTTTCCTTCAAAAAAATTATAAAACTGCTTTAAAATTAATTCTGAAGAGAATTTTTCGT